CATTTTGTTCACGGTTTCCTTTGCCTTACAGAAGCTTTGTAGTCTGATGTAGTCCCATTTGTTTATTTTTCTCTTTTGTTTCCCTTGCCTGAGTAGACATGGTATTCAAAAAGATGCTGCTAAGACTGATATCAACGAGTGTACTGCCTATATTTTCTTCTAGAAGTTTTATGGTTTCAGATCTTACATTCAAGTCTTTAATCCATTTTTAGTTAATTTTTGTGTATGGTATAAGATAATGGTCTACTTTCATTCTTTTGCATGTGGCTGTCCAGTTTTCCCAATACCGTTTACTGAAGAGACTTTCCTTTCTCCATTGTATATTCTTGGCTCCTTTGTTGAAGGTTAGCTGCCCGTAGATGTGTGGTTTTATTTCTGGGCTTTCAATTCTGTTCCATTGATCTGTGTGTCCGTTTTTTGTGCCAGTACGATGCTGTTTTGGTTACTATAGCTTTGTAGTATATTTTGAAGTCAGGGATTGTGATGCCTCCAGCTTTGTTCTTTTTTCTCAGGATTGCTTTAGCTGTTCAGGGTCTTTTGTTGTTCCATATAAATTTTAGGATTCTTTGTTCTATTTCTGTGAAGAATGTCATTGAGATTCTAATTGGGATTGCATTGAATCTGTAGATTGCTTTAGGTAATATGGACATTTTAACTATGTTTATTCTTCCCATCCATGAGGTTGAGGTCTCATAGAATACCTTTCCATTTCTTTATTTCTTCTTCGATTTCTTTCAATAATGGCTTACAGTTTTCAGTGTATAGGTCTCTCACCTCCTTGCTTAAGTTGCGATTGTAAATGGGATTGTATTCTTGACTTCTTTTTTCTGCTAGTTCGTTATTAGTGTATAGAAATACAACTGATTTTTGTAAGTTGATTTTGTACCCTGCAAGTTTACTGTAGTTGTTGATTATTTCTAATAGTTTTGTGGTGGATTCTTTAGGATTTTCTATACAAAGAATCATGTCATCTGCAAACAGCAAGATTTTACTTCTTCCTTTCCAATTTGGATACCTTTTATTTCTTTTGTTGCCTAATTGCTCTGGGCAAGACCTCCATTACTATGTTGAATAGGAGTGGCGAGAGTGGGCACTTTGTCTTGCTCCTGTTCTCAGAGGGATGGCTTTCAGTTTTTCACCATTAAGTATGATGTTGGCTGTGGGTTTGTCACATATGGCTTTTATTATGCTGAGGTACTTTCCTTCTATACCCATTTTATTGAGAATTTTGTCATAAATGGATGTTGGATCTTGTCAAATGCTTTCTCTGCATCTATTGAGATGATCATGTGGTTTTTATTCCTCATTTTGTTAATGTGGTGTATCACACTGATTGATTTGCAGATGTTGAACCATCCCTGCATCTCTGGTATAAATCCCACTTGATCGTGGTATAAGATCCTTTTAATGTATGGCTTGTATTCAGTTTGCCATTGTTGAGGATTTTTGCATCTGTTTTCATCAGTGATATTGGCCTGTAACTTTTCTTCTTTGTGTTGTCCTTGTCTGGTTTTGGTTTCAGGGTGATGTTGGCCTTGTAGAATGAGTTAAGAAGTGTTCCATCTTCCTCTATTTTTTGGAATAGTTTGAGAAGGATAGGTATTAAATCTTCTTTGAATGTTTGGTAGAATTCCCCAGAGAAGCCACCTGGTCTTGGACTTTTATTTTTCAGGAGGTTTTCTGTCTCAGTCTCTTTACTTGTGATAGATCTATTCAGATTCTCTCTTTCTTCTTGATTCAGTATTGGGAGGTTGTAATGAGTCTAAGAATTTATTCATTTCTTCTAGGTTATCCAATTTGTTGGAATATAGTTTTTCATATTATTCTCTTATAATCCTTTGTATTTCTGTGAGATCTTGTAATTTCTCCGCTTTCATTTTTAATTTTATTTATTTGTGCCTTCTCTCTTTTTTCTTAGTAAGTCTGGCTAAGGGTTTGGTTTGTCAGTTTTGTTTATCTTCCCAAAGAACCAGCTCTTAGTTTCATTGATTCTTTCTATTGTTTTTTCAGTCTCAATTATTTCATTTATTTCTGCTCTACTTTTTATTATTTCCCTCCTTCTGCAGCATTTGGGCTTTATTTGTTCTTCTTTTTCTAGTTCTGTTAGGTGTAGTTTAAGATTACTTATTTGAGATTTTTCTTGTTTGTTGAGATAGGCCTGTATTGCTATAAATTTCCCTCTTCGGTCCACTTTTGCTGCATCTCATAAGAGTATGTTCTGTTTTCATTTGTCTCTAGCTATTTATTGATTTCTCCTTTGATTTATTCATTGATCCAATTGTTGTTCAGTAGCGTGTTGTTTAGTCTCCACATGTTTGTGACTTTCCCAACTTTTTTCTTGTAGTTGATTTCTAGTTTCATCGCATTGTGGTCAGAAAAGATGCTTGATATGATTTCACCCTTCTTAAATTTATTGAAGGTTGCCTTGTTTCCCAACATATGGTCTGTCTTTTGAGTATGTTCCACGTGCACTTGAGAAGAATGTATATTCTGCTGTTTTTGGATGGAATGTTCTATATATATCTATTAAGTCCATCTGATCTAGTATTTCATTTAAGGCCACTCTTTCCTTGTTGCCTTTCTGTCTGGATGATCTATACATTTATGTAAGTGTGGTGTTGAGGTCCCCTACTGTTATTGTGTTGCTATCAATTTCTCCCTTTAGTTCTGTTAATAGTTGCTTTATATACTTTGGTGCTTCTGTGTTAGGGGCATATATATTCATAAGTGTTATGTCCTCTTAGTGGAATGTCCCTTTTATCATTACATACTGCCCCTCTTTGTTTCTCATTGTCTCTCTTTTTTGTCTTGAATTCTGCTTTGTCTGATATAAGTATGGCAACACCTACTTTCTTTTGCTTCCCATTTGCATGGAGTATTGTCTTGCATCCCTTCCCTCTGAACCTATGTTTGTCTTTAGAGCTGAGATATGTTTCTTGGAGGCAGCATGTTGTTGGTTCTAGTTTTTTAATCCATCCTGCCACTCTGTGTCTTTTGATTGGAGAATTCAATCTATTTACATTTAGAATGATTTAGCCTTCATATGAAGGCTAAATTGCCATTTTATCTCTTATTTTTCAGTTGTTCTTGTTTCCATCGTTTCTTTCCCAGGGTAGATTTTTTAAAATTATTACTTTTCTAGAATTATGTTGTAGAAGAGATTCCCCAGTATTTCACTTAGTCCAGAAAAATATCCAAGAGTTGATGTTGGATCAACATTGCAAGCCTCAAAATCAATATCTCAAGTTACTGTATTTGTTTCATTTCTTCTCTCTTTTGTCTGTATTTGCTCTTACAAAAGGGTTAATGATCAGTTAAATGACATTAACATTTGTTAAATAACAGAAAGGTAGTAATTCCAAATTATCAATATCCACATGTCATTGAGTCCTTAGCCTTTATGATTTTCAATTTCTTCTTTTTTAGGCCAAGACTCATGTTCTTGACATTGAGCAGAGACTGCAAGGTGTAATCAAGACTCGAAATAGAGTGACAGGTCTACCATTATCTATTGAAGGACACGTGCATTACCTTATACAAGAAGCTACTGATGAAAACTTACTGTGCCAAATGTATCTTGGTTGGACCCCATATATGTGAAATGAAATTAGTTCAAAGAATATGTTAATAATCTAAAATTAACGTATTTGGTATTAATCTGTGGTTGTATGTATGTTCAATTCCAAAGTACAATATAAGTTTCTTCATGTTCCCAGAACAACTGGTATTATTTCTCCCTAATTGTTAATAATATTTAAAATAATATATGTTGTTATTAAGAAATAAACTGCTTTCTTAATATATACTGTGTATTATAACTGGAGAAATGGAACATCATATGTTCTTATGTTCTAAAAAGATATATTTGCAAGAAACAAGCCAGCCTAATTTCATTTTACAACTTTCATTGATTTTAAGTACTAGCCAGCATGAGGATTCATTTGAACAACAACAAAATTATATTGAATAAATAGTGTGGATAAAGCACCATCGTAGATTTGTGCACAGAGCTACTTTCCCTGCCCTCTAGGAACTGACAGTCTAGTAAAATAGAGATAAAAACATACATAGCATATCATCAAGTTCAATAAAACTTTCTTTTTTTGTATGGTTGAAAATGTGATAGGGAAAAAAACATAAGCCAAGACGCATGAATATGAAAACTATATAAACATTCTGTAATTTTAAAGATGCTGCCAACTGAAAGTGTACCAGAGTGCAGAATCTAGTAGTCTTGGAAGACAGCGATACTTTAGATTTCATGAGATTTCAGAATCTAAAAATTGTTTAATGTGGTTCAATTTTTTCGGAGGTCTTCTTGCAGAAGATTTAAAATAATTCATAATTACAAAGCAATGAGGTTATTATATTCAAATAAATGGAAACCTTTTTATAACAAAGGTAATTTCACTTAAGTTCACTTGATAGAATTCTACTTTTTTGTACAGTCGACAGTGTGATGGGGGAAAACATGATAATGCGGGAGGTATGAATTTGAAAACTAAACCTTATATAATTTCCTATTGAAGGCTTAATGTTACGAGTTAATTAACGGTCGAAGCTGGGGGGTGTGGAAGGCAGTTAGAAAATTTTTTTCAACAAATAATTTGGAAAAGAACGTTTTTAAACCAAACTTTGCTGTAGATTTATATTCCTCAAAGGAAAAAAACTCCCCCCTCACCAAACAAACAAAACAAAACAAAACAAATAAACCACGAGACCTTTCCAAACCTGTGCTGAAAAACACTGAGGTTAGCCATCGCGGACACGGAAGCAGCCAGCACAAAATTCAGTGGTCGGTACTCCTCCAGCGGTCTCGTGAGGCTTACAGAGCACAGCCCTACCCACCGGCGCCTTCGGAAGCAGCTTCACAGCGCAGCCCAAGGCCTCCGGCCGGCGAAGGAAGCCCCGGGAGCTGGGCGGCGGCGAGCCGCGCCGGCAGTGGAGCCCCGCCCCGGGGACGCGGCTCGGCGCGGCCGCTCTAGCCGGCGGCCCGCTCTATGGTCGGGCGGGCGGCGTGTTGTCATCTGCCGAGCGACGGCCGGAGGCGGCGGCGTCGGCCCCGGCGGGGCGTTTGGTTTCGGTTTGGCCCTGACTGGAGTTAGTGTTGACGGCCGAAATGGGAGTCCCCAAGTTTTACCGCTGGATCTCGGAGCGGTATCCCTGCCTCAGCGAGGTGGTGAAAGAGCATCAGGTGGGTGAGCGAGGGGGCAGCGGCCGGGAGGCCGAGGACCGGGGCCCGCGGCCCGCCTTCCAGCCGGCACTGGGCTCTCCGGCCTCGGCTCGCTGCCCGTCGGCGGCCGATGAGTGGCGAGGGGAGGGCGCCGGCAGGTCTGAGGACACCCTGCTGTCTGAACGGCGGCGAGGACGCAGGCTGCGTGCCGGGCGGGGGCCGCGGGCCGCGGCGTTCTGACAGCTCTGCCGCCTCGGAAGTGAAGTCGGGGAGCGCCGCCGCAGTGGGCGCCTCCCTGCCCTCCGCGGGGCGCTGCGGCCGGCGTCGCCTCGTGGGGGCGAGCCGAGGGCCAGTGCTCCTGGCCCCCATCCCCGCCCGGCGCGGCCACCCGCCCACCCGGTGCCGGCCGCCTCCGCAGTCGAATCGCCTGGCGTCCCTGCCTAACCGAGAGCTGCGTCCCTCCCCACCCCCAGCGCCCGGGCTTTTGACGTGGCCGGCGGTTCGGTTTATGAGACCTTTGCCTACCCTGTTTCTCTTATGCCGAAGACCCTAGCAATCCCATTCCAGAAGAAACAGAAATACACTTGCACGAGGCGGAGGACGTTATTTGGAGGATTCGTTGTATGTGTGTGTGTGTGTGTGCGCGCGCGCGCGAGAGAAACGGATTGTTAGAGCGCTAATACTAGTAATAATATTCGGTATGTAATGACCCCAGAGCAACACTGATGTTTAGATTCCAAAAATGTAGTTTATATGTAGGAACTGTCGAAAGAGAATAGAAAACACTAATCTATTAGGTAAACTAGACTTTGCGTGACAGGTTAGTGGTTGTCACTTTTAATGATTTCAGTAAATCCCTTGTCCATTTTATATTTTACAGGAAAAAATCAGTTTGGCTAATTGAATTAGTTGCGATGAATAGTATTGTATTAATAGTTGGGGGAAACAATCCAGTGAACACGATCATGCTATTCAATTCTTGTTTCATTTCTTTAACAAGTACTATAAGCATGAAGGTAGGGTTACACTTCCAGAAAGGATTGTTTGTTATTGGATTACAATCAGATATGGTATTTGAGGAAAAGCTTACAAAAATTTCCAAAATGGTAGTTTAACTTATTTGAAACATGCTTTGAGTTAGATTTAGGGAGACAGTTCTATCCAGAGAAGAGGGTTAAAAACGTTGCTAGTACATTGCAGATATGGAGACAGCTAACTTTGGCTTTTCTTGGATCCTTCATTCAGCAAACATTTGAGTACCTGCCATACATCAGTCATTTTATCTCTAAAGTGAAAAAATGTGATTGTTATTCAGACTGACTTGATAATACATTATTTGTTCAGGAATATTTTTACTCTATACTCTCTGGCACAGAATTTGGTTTGGTGAAAGTATCTTGGATTCTCTCCATCCTGAGGAATTTTGTTACTGAAGAACAAAAATCATCTCTTTAAGGCAGTTTTATGACATGAATACTAAGAATAGGTTTAAAACTTGGTTCATTTAAGTGATGTCTTTCAAAAACATTTGATGCTTGTAGTTAACGACAACAGCAAGCAAATGTTATAAAAGGTTACCAGCTACTCTCTCAACGGTACTTAAAAGGTGGTAATGCCTAAGTAAGTCATAATGGTTCAAAATCCCAGAGGAAGGGATTGGGAGGAGAAGTGGGTTCTGGGAAGATAGTGGCAGTGGTGACAGCAGCATAGTTTTTGGTCTCTGAATCCTTACATAAAAACAGAAAGAGAAACTGGATAGCAAAACTGAAAATTCATAGAACAGTTACAGCAAAACCACATAACAGGGTGTCCCTATGAACCCCAAAATACAAGTAGGTGTGGAAAAACTGCCAATAGCATCTTGACCCAGTCTGCATTGGCATCTTTCAAGAGGAAGAAGGAAGCAATGGAGCAAAATCTGATGGACCTGAGAACAGGAGAACTCCAGAATATTTGCTGAAAGACTCTGTGGGCCAGTTAGATAGCAGTGGCTGTAACTGAGGAGTTTTAAAGGGCAGGAGCAGTCTATCTGCTATGAACTCTCAAAACTGACTTGCCAAGGCACCATTCTAAGGCAGAGAGTGAAATAAAATTTTATCAGGAAAGGGACAATAGAGATAAAAGAAGAAGAAGGTCTAGATAAAAGGGGGGGAGGGTTACAGAGTCAAGAAATCTTAGAAAACAAACCACCGTATGTTTTAACACTACCCCAAAACAGCAGAAAAGGGAGCTTTGTGAAGTTAAAGCTTTCCTGAACCCCTCCTAATTCTAAAAGTTCTGGAAAATTAAATTTACATAAAAATGAACAACAGAAAAGTATCAAGGTCAAATAGCATACAAAACTATTATACGGAAAAAAGGAAACAAAATGACATCCCTACAGTCAATAAAAACTTGCAATAAAAATGTGCACACAAAACAGACCAAAACTCTAACCTGTTATTTCAGAATGAGCTAAAAGGCACTCAGAAAATGATATAAGATAGGAAAGAACAACATATATTAATTAGAAAACTCAGGAATAAGGTGACAGAACCTAGGGAAAATTGGACATAAATGAAAAAATCATTTCAGAAGTGAAGCCTAAAATAGTAGCAAGGCAAGAGCAAATGATGCCATAAGAAAAAAATAGAAGGTGGAAAGAAGAGGAAATTATAAAATATAAAAAAGTTTCAAGAAAGTAACTAATAAGAAAGATAAACAAAGAAGACAACCAATAGGGGTTCCTGAAAAAGGAAATCAAAGCAACATAACAGAACAAATACTAAAACTATAATTAAAGAAAACTTTCCTCAGATTAAAACATATATATTTGAAACTACATGTTGAAAGCATATACCATGTGCCCAAGAATACTGATTCAGATGACCAATACCAGGTCATATTCTAGTAAAATTACTGGACTTTAAAGAAAAAGAAAAGAAAACTTTGATTATCTAGAAGAAAGGAACATGTGACTTATAGGGAAAGAAAATAAGGTTTTCTAATTTTAGAAATTCAGACAGCTTTATGCCCAGAGAAAATGAAGTAACAAGATACTCAACTGACTTTTGAGTATAAAGGATAAGCTGATAAAATGCTTTCAGTGTTCAAGAATTCAGGGAATATTGTTCCTTGGAGCACTTTCTTGAGAAATCTACTAGAAAATGAGCTTCAGACAATCAAAATGACTAGCGACACATCAACATTAGAACCAGTGGTGAACATTAAATATAGTTACCTGTAGAATAGAAACAAAACAAGAGTTAAGAGGGAAAAAGTTTGGTATATAATGGCTGTATGCTCTGACAATGTATAGATAGCACAACTATGACATAAAGGAGGATGAGGGAGAATGGGGAAAGCTTATGCAAAAAAATTTTGTATGTTACTAATAATCATCTTGATGGTGGTATTAATATTGTTTCTCTGAAACCCATGTGTGTGATATAATTAATGCCTGATTATAGGGTATTTAATTCTGTTGTCTCTTGTATCCTTGAGAACCAAGATTCTTGGTGTGTAAGAAAGAAGTTACAGATGTATAGAGAAAACGTTAAGTAAAAGCTCTAGTCTTGAAGCTGAATTGGAAGTATCAATAGGAACTTATGAAGCACACATATGCATATGCATAAATTTCCAAGCTCTGTCCCTGTGTCCACAGAAAAGGCCTAGAAACAATGACCAATCCAGTAGCAATATGCATCCTTAGTGCCATTATGGTCTTGACATACCATTACTCACTAAAAGAAATTCGGATTTCTTGGAGAAATGACTGATTCCAGATCAGAATCAGGATGTATTGGAGATGAGCCTGGAGGCTTTTGTCATACCCTATAGCAAGGAAGCTACTAAAGACTACTAGGGACATGTCAAAGGATTGAAGAGACAACTAGAAGAGGTTGACAGTGGCCTCAAAGGGGACAGTCTGAGCTTCAATAATGATAGTAATCCGGTAGATTAAAATCTATCAAATATACTTAAATCCTTATGTTCATAATGGTACTTTAAAAACAAGGATCCCCTTCCAAAGGTGGTAGGAACGGTTCCTAATCTTGAAAACTGGTAAATAAAGGGAAAAAAATAAGCATTTTGTTCTGCCTCTCCTGTACCACTGGGTAACTCGATGGTAAAATGGTCTCTTTGTGAGAGTATTCCAACTAATAAAAAAGAAATGATAAAATATCTCCATTTTGCAACCTGAAATGAATTAATAGAAATAGTCATTAAGCATCAATGGCTGCTAATATTAGAAAAAAGAAAGGGCCGGCCCGGTGGCTTAGTGGTTAAGTGCACGCGCTTCGCTGCTGGCGGCCCGGGTTCGGATCCCGGGTGCGCACCGACACACCACTTCTCCGGCCATGCTGAGGTGGCGTCCCACATGCAGCAACTAGAAGGATGTGCAACTATGACATACGACTATCTGCTGGGGCTTTGGGGGAAAAAAATAAATAAATAAAAATCAAAATTGTTGCCATACAGTTTTATATACTGTAAAAAGATCTTTAAAAAAAAAAAGAAAAAAGAAGAAAAGGTGAGATAACCAATAGAGCTTAACCTATTCCTGTTTCAGAGAATTCTTGACATGGATAATGTATACAAGACTTACGTTGGTGTTTGGATGTGTAAATTAGACGCTTAGAACCATTTTCAATGCCTAGTTCAATCAAGTGGTCCAGTAGTTCGGTGGAAAGATATTATGACTATATAAAATTACGGTTATTTCATAAATCTGTATTGAATATAAAGCTTATATACCATAAGATTGAGGAATACAGAGATATACGGTAATATTTTGTGCTAGTGTTATATTATTGTAAGCATATTTCTTGTTTGGTAAAGGGCTGGGAGTGAGGAAGGAGTTAAGTAAAATAAATAAATAGATAAATAAAATAAGAATAGTAAAACAAAACATTGCCTGCTTTAAAAGAAAGGTACTTTCCGGGGCCGGCCCTGTGGCTTAGCGGTTAAGTGCGCGCGCTCTGCTGCTGGTGACCCGGGTTCGGATCCCGGGCGCGCACCGAGGCACTGCTTCTCTGGCC